CAAATCCCTCATTGAGACATTGATGAGTACGTTGACCACCAAGAAGTTTGATAGTTCTCGTAGTATGCATGAACACGTAATCGAAATGACAAATATCGCAGCAAGACTCAAGTCTCTTGGAATGACAGTGGAAGAAAATTTTTTTGAGCAGTTCATTTTGAACTCGTTACCGCTTGAGTATGGTCTGTTCCAGATGAACTATAACACCATGAAGGACAGATGGAACGTGCATGAACTGCACAGTATGTTAGTCCATGAGGAGACCAGACTCAAGAATCTAGGAAGTCACTCTATTCATTATGTGAAAAATCAAAGAGCTAAAAAGAAAGTTGTTAAGAAACATGGAAAGGGTAAATGACTATTAAAGATTAACGAGTCATCTACTAACATTCAGAAGAAAAATGACAAATGTCATTTCTGTGGTAAGTCTGGACATTTTCAGAAGGACTACTTAAAGCGTAAAACTTGGTTCAAAAAGAAAGGTGAGCATAGTGCTTATGTATGTTTTGAATCAAACTTAACTGAAGTTCCCCATAATACTTGGTGGATTGATTCTGGATGTACGACTCATGTTTCTAATGTGATGCAGGGATTCCTTTCAACTCGAACCATAAACCCAAATGAGAAGTTCGTCTTCATGGGGAATAAAGTTAAGATTCCAATGGAAGCTGTTGGGACTTATCGTTTAATCCTTGACACTGGATTTTACTTAGACCTTATGAATACTTTTTATGTACCTAGTATCACTAGAAATTTAGTTTCTTTGTCTAAGCTTGATGTTGTTGGATACTCTTTTAAGTTTGGGAATGATTGTTTCAGTTTGTTTAAGCATACTTGTATGATTGGAACTGGTACACTTTATGATGGTTTATATAAATTGAATTTGGATAATTTATATGCTGAAACTCTCATGACTTTGCATCATAATGTTGACACTAAACATAGTTTGGTGGATGAACGATCTGCTTATTTATGACATAAGCATTTGAGACATATTTCCAAAGAAAGAATGCAAAGATTAGTAAAAAATGAAATCCTTCCGGATTTAGATTTTACTTATCTGAATATATGTGTGGATTGTATTAAAGGCAAACAAGTAAAACACACAAAGAAATGAGTCATAAGAAGCACTCAACTTCTTGAAATCATACACACTGATATATGTGATCCATTTGACGTACATTCTATTAATAAAGAGAAATATTTCATCACCTTCATTGACGATTTCTCGCGTTATGGACATGTCTATTTACTACATGAGAAATCTCAAGTAGTTAATGCCTTGGAAGTTTATATAAATGAAATGGAGAGACAATTAGACAGAAATGTGAAAATTGTCAGGTCAAATAGAGGTGATGAGTATTATGGAAGATATGATGAAAGTGGATAACACCCTGGTCCGTTTACTAAGTTCCTTGAGAAGCGTGGTATTTGTGTTCAATACACAATGTGAGACACACCATAAAAAAATGGTGTGTCTGAAAGGCGTAATCGAACCTTAATGAATATGGTTAAGAGTATGTTAAGTAATTCATATTTACCTGTATCGTTGTGGATGTATGCTTTGAAAGCTGTCATGTATTTGTTAAGCAGATTCCTAGTAAAGCGGTTCAAAAGACTCCTTTTAAGTTATGGACAAGTAGGAAACCCAGTATAAGACACCTACATGTTTTGGGTTGTCAGGCAGAAGTAAGAATTTATAATCCGCAAGAAAAGAAACTAGATGCAGGAACAATCAGTGGATATTTTTCATTGATTATCCAGAAAAAATCAACAGGGTATATGTTTTACTGTCCTACCCATAGTACAAGAATTGTTGAAACTGAAAATGCTCCGTTCATTGAAAATGGCGAAACCAATGGGAGTGAAGCTTCACGAAATGTGGAGATTAAGGAAGTTAGAGTACAAGTTCCCATAACTAGTACATCTTCTTCAAGAGTTGTTGTTCCACATGTTGTAGAACCACACAACAATCAAGAAAAACAACAAATTAATGATCCCGAGATTAACAATGATCCGATAATAGAACAACCACAAAAAATAGTATTAAGAAGATCTCATAGAGAAAGAAAGTATGTTATTTTGAATGATTACGTGGTTTATCTACAAGAGTCAGAAAATGACCTAAGTATTGGTAATGACCCAGTTTCATTTTCAGACGCCATTAATAGTGATAATTCTGATAAATGGTTAGATGTTATGAAAGATGAGCTTGAATCAATGACACATAATGGTGTATGGGATCTTGTGGAATTGCCAGAAGAATGTAAGAGTGTTAGGTGTAAATGGGTCTTTAAGACTAAGCGTGACTCTCATAGTAATATCGAATGTTACAAGATCCCGTCTTGTTGCCAAAGGTTTTACTTAGAAAGATGACATTGATTATAAGGAAACATTTTCACCTGTTTCTAAGAAAGATTCTTTTAGAATTATCATGACATTAGTAGTTCATTATGATCTTGAGTTGCATCAAATGGATGTTAAAACTGCCTTTCTGAATGGAGCTTTAGAGGAAGATGTTTATATGGATCAACCGATGAGGTTTATTGAAGAAGGAAGAGAGCACATGGTGTGTAAACTTAAGAAATCAATATATAGACTTAAATAAGCTTCTCAGCAATGGTATCTTAAGTTCAATGATACTATTCTGTCTTTTGGGTTTAAGGAAAACACTGTTGATCGGTGTATATATATGAAGGTCAGTGAGAGCAATTTTATATTTCTGATTCTATATGTTGATGATATCTTGCTTGCGACTAATGATTTTGGTCTATTAAGTGAGACTAAGAAATTTCTCTCTAACAAATTTGAAATGAAAGATATGGGTGAGACATACTATGTGATAGGAATAGAAATATTTCGTGATAGATCACAAGGACTGGTAGATTTGTCTTAGAAAGCATATATTAATAAAGTTTTAGAGAGATTCAGAATGGAGAAGTGTTCAACATCTCCCGTTCCAATACATAAAGGAGACAAATTTAGTCTCATGCAATGTTCAAAGAATGACTTGAAACGGAAACAAATGGAAAATATCCCTTATGCATCTGTTGTTGGGAGTTTGATGTATGCTCAAACATGTACGATGCCAGATATTAGCTTTGCAGTTGGTATGTTGGGTAGATACCAGAGTAATCCTGGAATGGATCATTGGAAGACTGCAAAGAAAGTTTTAAGATACTTACAATGAACAAAGAATCATATGCTTACTTATAAGAAAACTTATCACCTTGAAGTGATTGAATATACAGATTTAGATTTTGCTGGTTATATGGATACACAAAAGTCTACATTTGGTTATGTGTATCTTTTAGCCGAAGGAGCGATTTCATGGAAAAGTGTGAAGCGGTCTGTCATTGATGCATCCACCATGGAAGCTGAATTTGTGGCATGCTTTGAGGTCGCAATTCAAGCTAATTGTTTGCGAAATTTTATTTTAGGGCTTAGAATAGTCAACAACATTGTCAAGTCGCTGAAAATTTATTGTGACAATTCCGCATCAGTCTTCTTTTCTAAGAACGACAGGTATTCCAAAGTTGCTAAACATATGGAATTGAAATACTTTGTCGTTAAAGAAGAAGTTTAGAAACGGAGAGTGTCAATAGAACATATTAACAATGATCTTATGATTGTTTATCCTTTAACAAAGGGATTACCGCCCAAGTTATTTGCTGCCCATATAGTGAATATGGGCATTATGTTTACTAGTAGTGAATGTTGAATATTAATGTTATTATTAATGCTTATGTGACACTCTGAGATATTTAATATATAAGTTTCTGAAATTTGTGTTTTCTTCTTTATTTATATGCATGCAAATTATGATGAAGAAAACAAATTATGTTATTATTATTGAAATGATATTATGTTTGAACCTATAATACACTTCTCATTATAAAGTCATATTAAGGAGAAAAAGATAATATAGTGGTACATGGGAGAGAACATGTCGATTGAATGACATGTAACTGTATCTTTAATTATGAATAATGATAGAACCAATTTATATAAGGTCCTTTAATGTGCATTATGACTTAAGTATTAAATTAAAGAAAACGTTACATGAGTCAAGTGGGAGAATGTTAGAATTAATTTAATTAATTCATTCTATTATTTGACTAATGTGAAATATAATGAAGGACCCAATTGTGATTTAATAAAATATAAGGACCTATTGATTATTATATGAAGTCAGAATAAAATAAAGATAAATAAAATAAAAATTTACGGTAACCAACTTGATGAACGTTGGTTAATAAAAGGAAATAGGGTTCTATCTCTGGCCATAAGATTTTTTTTTACGGTAAACCATCAAGAAAACGTGAAAAGAGAAAGAAAGACAAAGAGATAAATTGAGAAAAGAAGATTGGAGAACGAAAAGATTGAAGAATAGATTTTCATGGATCAATGTTAGTCTTTTTACTATGATTCATGTATTCATGTATATTATATTGTGAAAATTAATAATCTTAAAAAATCAATGAATCAAGAACGTACGAAAACTAAATGACTTGCATTACTCACATCACAGTTGGTGACGCGAAAATAATAGTCAGGATAGCAACTCTGATCCACGCACGCAGTTGGGAGGAGTGGCAGTGGCAATAGCCATGACAGTGGCAGGGCCTTCTGCACGTTGTGCCTTGGATAGGTTCCCAAAGCTCACTAGAAGTCGAGTATCAGGCTTTAGCTTCCACGTGAAATTCAGTAGTTGCAGAGATCCGTTTGGATAGGTTCCCAAAGCTCACTAGAAGTCGAGTATCAGGCTTTAGCTTCCACGTGAAATTCAGTAGTTGCAGAGATCCGTAAGGCACAACGTGCAGAAGGCTATGATACAAATGTCCACCATTTCAGTTTTCTTACAAAGGTTAAGTTCAGTGATGCTAATCTGAATCAGGGATCTAACATTGATCTTGATAGCAGAAGTTCCATGAAGTTACAAGATTAAAAAGAAAAGTACACGAAATGAATAAAATCCATACTCAAATCTTAACTATGCATCATAGCATGCTGTCTGTTCTAGCTGGAAGCCTCTTGAAGAAGTTGCTGGGTACAGAAGGAAGTTTGCTACGAAACTTTGGATGCCTTAGATAATACAAACCTGTTACCATAGCCACCACTTTTGGTGGTGTTGCATACAGCACCACAGCTGAACACAAACTAAACACTACGAAGAGGCTGGTGGCTCGGGTGTCTCTCCAACTTAGTAGAGAATGAAACCTCTCCCCCTGCGTTGCTATGTCTCCAACAACTGTTTGAATCCTTCCTGCAACACTTCTAAGCTTGTCATACCTCATTCTCACCACATCATGTGGTCTAGAAGTTGGGAATGTGTCAAACTCTTCATCAAGTTCATCAGGGTGAAGTGCTTCTGCCCATGAGAGTTTTGTGTCCATGTGAGGTGGGTTTCTAGGCCTAAACCTATAGTTCCATAGGCCAATCAAGAACATGTATAGGAACAAAGTTGGAAGTATCAATTCAGGGTAGCAAATGAGTATCAGGAAGAGAATGTGAACTAGAATGGATGTGACAGGGCTCTTCCAATGGCAAACTTGGCTAAACCACTGCCCCATTGAGATGATGCCAGAGAAAAGCGACATGATGCGGAAGAAGTTGGCTTTGCTTCTTCTCATGCTCCACATATGGGAGTCAACATCCAACATGTACTCCACCACCTCCCTCCTGAGGGGAGGTTCAGCTCTTCCAAGCCTCCCAGCCACAATGTTCATGGCTTGGTACCTCAAACTCTCTATTTGATTAACTGTGAAAGGGCGCAAGTAATGCATCTTTGGAAGCAAGGGTTGACCATAAATGTAAATCATGTTAGCCAATGAGAGGCTAGTGAATCTCACGGCTAGCTGAAGCTCGCCCATTTTCTTGACACCATGTGGGTGCAAAACAAGAAGTGGATAACTGTGAGTGTATATTCTACTAGCTTCAAGTGTTGAGAGTCTAATTCTAACCTTTCCGATTCTTGTATCCCTGGCTGCAGTGTCGGGAGTGGCTTTTTCACTTCCACCTAAATGGCAATTGTCAAAAACACCAAGTGTTATTACAGAGCAAGGATCATAAACCTCCCATGTGTATTGCTCATTCCACTTTGGACTGTAAGTGTCAAGAATTGTTCGGGTTCTGACCCATTTTTGCCCGTACTTGGCAACACAGTATGCATCTGTGCTACCATGGCCATCCCTCATCTTCATTGGGAGGAGTCCCTGTGCTCCTAAGATGCCTACTTCAATTACCCCAATAGGCTCCTTCCATAGCTGTCTAGATGTTGGTCTTTGGTCACTTGAGTACAAAGTGGACTCATCAAGGACGTGGTATCCACCTTCAAGGCAAATTCTTAGGTGAATCCTGCTTGAAAATTTAAGCTCATTTCTCCTATCAGCTTCCATCACTCCAAAACCAAACTTCTCAAGATTGAACCAGCGCGAATGAACTGGCCTGTGGTCTAGCCGCTTCTCAAAGAGGGTCAATGGCAAGATTATCTTCCCAAGTACTTCATCTTTTGAAGGGTGCACGCGATCCTCCACAGTGATTGTCAACTTCTCCTCAAATGGTTCAGCTGCAACAAAGACCAAATCTTCATTCCAAAGTGGTGTGGTTGTCCTAGTTGGACATATCTTGGTCTTCAACACTTGGCTCCCCATCTGAGCCTTGACAAAAACCTCTGGCAGCCGGTTTCTGTCACCTGGTATCACATCTTGTGCTTCGATGACATACACTCTGAGATACCACAGTTTTGGTGACAAATAAACCTTTGATCTGACATTGAAAACTCCCTCTCCATACACAGTGGCAGCATCAGAATGCCAAGCCTCTGAGAATGCCTCATCAGCTTGAGTTCCCATCCACACTGCAAGCATGATATCACCTCCTCGCTGGCCCTCGAGTCTGTACCAGTGAGGAGCCAGTGGACTGTCTGGGGGAACTTTGGTCGGAACCTCATTTAGATCAAATGCCACCCTTCCAATATAATCATCTCTTCCCAACATTTCTTTGTCTTTCACTATGACTTCCAAAACAGAAGATTGAATTCTGTCTTTGGAGAAAGCATAGACTTGGTTCCATTCTGGGTTCGTTTTGTTCTCTATGTGCTTTGTTCTCCCTTTGTAGTTCCCCAGCTTCACTTCCACATAAGGATCACAGCTTGAGGTAAGAGTGTTGTGGTGAAGATCCTTGGCTTTCACTACCCTAACATACAGATAGAACATCTGCTCAACAAGGTCATGTGTGCTTGTGAATCTTTCACCACCACTCATCCACCCTCTTCTGGCATTAGGCCACCGCTCACCCCCGAGCTGTGGATCGGTCTCCCTCAGATTGTAGTCGTCATCTTGCCTACTAGGACTAACTTGAGGGCCAACTGAGTGCATTGTGACTGGAGCACCCCTTTGTCTTCTCTTTATTGAAATCATTGGCTGATGCTGCTGGTGAACTTAGTGAATGTGTAGTTGCGGTGTTATCTAGTGGAAAGGCTCTATGCTTTCGTCTTTTAGATCTTGACCAGTATCAATGCCACTACACTGCAGCGCTAAGTTTTTCTTTCTCGGCTCCTTTTGTGATTGATTTTCGGGTGTCCTCTATGTGGTCAGCTTTTAATGTTGTCAGTTAGGTCAATAATTTGTGTGTTTGGGAATGGACAATGAGGAAGATTGGTAGTGTTGGATATGAGAAGTTTTCTAATTATGAAGTAGGAAAGTCAGAAGAGATTTGGTATTGGACTTAGATAGTTTGCTGATGGTAAGGTTTGGTTGCATCCAAATGGAATAACTTTGTGATTCCAAGTAGGTTGAGGTTCTTTGGGATAATTCTGGTTCTTCTTAATTGGTTTTCAAACTCTACTTCAACCAATGCACTTGTGATCTCTCAACGTGTTTGGGCATAAGATCATGAGCATCAACGATCTCCACTATCACCTTCATATCCTTTTCTTCCTTGTATCTATGCCACAGCAAGCTAAGGCTTATATGGCTATCAACAAGTAACCCAATATTCGATTCTGAAGCAACCAAACTCTTCTTAAGAAGGAAAAAGATGGAAGAAAACACAGTGATGGTTGTCTCACTTTCCTACACAATAGAACTCCTCACTATCTTGGTTTAAGAAAGGAATAATTTGATGAAGAAGCTGCATGAGCTTTAGTAATCTTAATATGGAAAAACAGAAAATAATGGATCAAAAAGCCTCTGATTAACTCACATTCCATGCTTTCTGTGATTATTAGTTTTATCTTAATGAGTATAAAACATGAGAGAATAGTTACTTGGTAAGGTGGTGCAATAACTTAGTGAATGGGGTTATTTGCTTGAAGGGACTAGTTGAAAGGATAAGTTCTTTCTTCAATGTGCAGCAATGTGAAAGTACAGAAAAGTTAGTAAAACATGATGTGAAAGGCAGATTGGAAGCTGCAAGAAAGCAAAGGTGTCTTAGCTCAAGGGTTTGTGTTGTGACATTGCTCAAAGATGCTTTCCTTGTGCTTTCTCTCCCTTCTTTTAAGAAATGAATATTATAATTTCTAACTTCTATCTGCACATTGCTTATATTTTTTTAATTTTTATATTTTACCTTGACAACTCAATCCCTGCCAAAAGTTGTTCACAAGGGCTTTGGTGTTAACTCTTTGGAATAGATAAAGAACAAGATGATGCAATGGTCAACAAAAGATGACAGAATATATAATCTAAGTATATGTTGAATTTACTTGAATAAATTTCATTTTTTCATGTCTGAAACATAACGTGGACTTCAATGGTGAAACCAAACATGCAGTTTTATAATTGATGAGAGAATTTTGTTGGTATATGATTGAGTTATAAATACTTGTATGAATACTCTTGAAATAACGCTGAACAATTTCTTATTCAAATTACGTAAACTTTTTAATAGAAAAAAAAAAAGTTGATGCAGTGGCATATGATTTTTGATTAAAATTGGCAAGATATTTTATGAAGTTGTTCGTTACTTTCATTACTTTCTTGACATTATTTTATATAGAAGACTACGTGTATGATTGAAAGAGACGTGGTGTAACTTAGTATTAGTTGTAATTTTAATAATTTTAAAAATATTTAATGTAATAAATCTTAAAGTTTTAAATCACAATTAAATAATTAAATTTATTTTCACTAACTTATTTTTTAATCATTTAATTATTGACTATAAATATAATACTTTTATAGTAGCATTATAATTAAAACAAATAAATACAACATGGTAATAATTTAACAATTGAACAATCCTAATAATTTTGTTTGTTTACATTTAGAATAAAAGAAGAAAATATTCAGGATGTTAAAAAAAATGCGATATTTCTTGTTCCAAAGTGTATATATATTTTCTATAATGCTTTGAGCATATGTACATTTTTATTAATACATTTTAAAAAAATGCAAAGATTTTAAAATATCATTTTGTTGTTATTTTATAACGAGAAAGATCTACCAAGAAAACATGAGAGTTTTAATATAAACTTTTTATTTATTTTTTTAATAAAATTTAATCTTTGCCTCTCTTTCCATTTACGTCCCTTGCAACTAGAACCTTCCAACTACTCAAAACATTAGGGTTTTTGGAAGGGGTTTTAGGACTGTTGCTCGCAACTAGAAATCCTCAATTCTCCTTCCAAAGATTTGACATTTCTCATCCAAGGCTCCAAATGCTTCGCTCCAATGGCGTTCGGCTCTTACGATCGCTGCCTGCTAAATTCCTCAGCCACGCCGACGACACTGTACTTGACAATTCTTCTTGTCATTATTATCTAACTTCGATTTTTGAGACTTTTTCTGTGTCATATTTGATGGTTTGTTTTGTTTCATTGATTTGGTACAGATATGTGAAGGAGTATGCCAAAGGGGTTATAGGATATTGAGTTCAGGACTTTGTAATCCATCCAGAGTTACCGGAAAATTTTCTCCAAATGGTATGTGTTGAAGATAATAATGCAAGTTTCAATGTCTTTTTGGAATTTTAATTTGGATGTGCAATTAAAATGAAGGAATGAGTCAGTTGTTTTCTGATTAGTTTGACAGTTGTTGGTCCTATCATTGTTTTGCTTATGATGTTATATTGATCATTTTATTATATGATTTGCTTATGTTGTTATATTGATCATTTTATTATAAAAATGAAAGCTATGATTTTTTGGTGTTGTTTTTGCTAATCTTTTTCTGCCCTGTCTAATTGCTGTAGGAGATGATATTACTTTGAAGAACTGGTTGCCATATGGAGCAGCTAATACATATTGGGGGACATCTAGATCCATTCATGGGTCAGGTATAAGAGTTTAATTAAGCTTTATGTGCTTGCCTTACTTTTCGTTCTTATTTTTCATTCTTCCTGGAGTGACATCAAAATGCATTTGCAAAGCTGCCTTGGTTACTCGTGGCTTGTATTTTGTCTACTATTTTCCTTTGGTGATGAAGTAGAACTGGCCTGAACTCAATCCTACTTTTGTTGAATTAGCTCTGCATTTTTCTATTTTGGTCTTGCCCCTTGATGGATATTTGTTTGTTGTTCCTTTTGAATGATTTTTTTCCCCGCAATTCCTTTTCAGCATCATTGGCTAGAGACTATTATGACGTTCTTGGTGTTAGCAAGAATGCAAGTTCTTCGGAAATAAAGAAAGCATACTATGGGGTAGGTTTTACTTAACTAGTATCAATATGCATGTATTTTTGTATCAACAAACCTTTTTTTTTTTTATGTTTTTGGTAAACATTGGACTTATTTCCTGGTAAAAAATTGTTATTTCTTATATCTTTCCTGATCAAAGGGATCACATTATTACATTCTTTTATACTTTCAAGTCTTCCCCACATGTCTGTCAACTCGTTTTACTTCTAGTATGAGGATATTGCGATCATGTCCCAATTGGGTGAGATTAAAATAATTATTTGAATTGTAATAAGGAGGAGTGTGTTTTTACATCATATTGCTGTTGGATATGCAATCACTCATATTATATAATTCAGAAATAAGTTTTTTCATCTTTTGCTGTTTAATGCTTATTCTTGCTGGTTGCCACCTATGATTTTCATTTTCATAATATATTCCTACAAGATTTTAATACCTAAAGTAATATTTTTGTGGAAATATTGCATGCAGTTCCCTTTATTTTTTTCTTTATTCTCTCATGACACAAATTCTTCAGACGCACTTGATGAGCATGAGTTTTTGTCTAAAATGATTCTATTTCTGCCTATTTTTAACTGTTTGTTTTCTTCATGTTCTGCAGCTTGCAAAGAAGCTCCATCCAGACACAAACAAAGATGATCCTGAAGCTGAAAAGAAGTTTCAAGAAGTTTCAGTGGCATATGAGGTGTACTGTTGTTGTTGTTGTTGTTATTATTACCTAGAGCTCTACTTTAAATTTTTATGTGATGAGTGAACTGGTTTATGGTTTCTTGACACTCCCCCCTTTGAATAACTGCATTGTAGGTTTTGAAGGACGAAGAAAAGCGTCAACAGTATGATCAGGTCTTATGTTTTTCCTGATATATATTTTGTCTCCAAACACTTTTTGTTAATATATTGGGGTATGTTTATAGGATATGTAACTAATTTTATGCAAAGAGACATTGTGATCATAAGAGTCTAACAAGGAAATAATAGCAGGACCTAAGTAGAAAAACTGTGTTTTATGGAGGTTGGAGGATAGGAGAATCTGAGGGAAAAATAGTTGAAGAAGTTGGACAATGACTATGGCACCTTGTTTTTAGATACGTTTGAGATAGCTGCAAATATTGTTATTTCAATAATTGATTATATGCATGGTCAATTATTGTTTAATAGATTATAATCAAAATTAGATTTTCTTATAGTGAGTTTGTTGAAAAATAGTTTTAAAATGATTAATTTTGTTTTGATTCAATAAAAAACCAGCTTTTACGTAAGAAAAATAGTACATATAAAGCCAAAAGGGGAAAAAGCTGTTGGGAAACAGTTATAAGCTACAAATTTCCAGATTAATACAATTAGCTTTTCAGAAAATAAGCTTTTTAAAAATTTCAACTATTGTCCCAAACACAGTTGAAATTGCAAACAACTTTTGTCCCCCAAAAAAATCTGAAATCTTGAAATTAATCTCTATGATTTTATTTTATTTTATTTAATATGGATTTGTAGATTGGCCATAATGCATATGTAAACCAACAAAGCACTGGTTTTGGAGGCGACAGCGGCTTTAATCCATTTGAGCAGATGTTCCGTGATCATGTAATGACTTACTGCTTTCTATATTTTTGTTTCTGCTCATGTCTAATCGTATATTGGTTGATCCTATATCATTTTTATAATAGTTTAGTGTTGTTGCACAAATTTTAGCAGGATTTTTGCTTGATAGAAATAACTATGTATGTAATTTTCTTCAAAGTAAGGCTTTATTATTTGATGTTTAATGTTCAAAGTGTTCTGACTCTAATCACACAACTGCATCAGTACTAGTTCAGATCATTGGGAGAATAATCTATTTAGTTTTTATTAGTTTATTACATGTTCATGTTTCAACCAAGCATATGTTATGTTTAGTTTTTATTAGTTGTACTATTATACAAGCAACCAAGCTTCTTAATTTGTATATGTTATGTTTGGTTGTGCATATGTTCTGCTTTTAAATTTTAATTGTAGCAGAATATAGAAATTAGAAAATAGTAATTCAATAAATTATTGCTCTATAGTAAAACATAAATGTCTAATAAATTTGCTTGAATTATGTTTTCCACATTTGAAGACTAACATGAGTTTTAATTCTCTAGCATTTCCTTCAATTGGTAATCAGGATTTTGTCAAGAGTTTTTTTCATCAGAATATTGGTGGAGAAGATGTCAAGGTTCTTTCTCTCTTCATATCTTCTTTACATCTTTAACTATGGTAGGACTTGTTTGAGAAATGCAGCTTGATCTATTATTGTTCACAGACTTTTATTGAACTATCTTTTATGGAAGCTGTACGAGGATGCACCAAAAATATTACATTTCAAACAGAAGTTCTCTGTAACACTTGTGGTATGCTCATGACTCAAACTTCATTTGCATGATTCATTATTAGTTGTCTCTGCTATATGTAGTTTAGTTTTCAAGGTCTATGCACCTGGAAGGTGTCCAATTCTTTCTCTTTCTTGAATGTTGCAGGTGGGAGTGGTGTTCCTCCTGGTACAAGACCTGAAACTTGTAAGCGGTGTAAAGGGTCAGGCGTGGTCAGTATTGTCTTAAATAAACCTTCTTTAATAATGTACTATTTTTATTATTATTATTATTATTATAATAATGATGTTAAGCTGGTGGCTTTTTATTATATGTTCAGACATTCGTACAAACTGGCATATTTAGGATGGAGAGTACATGTGGTACATGTAAGGGAACTGGAAAAATTGTATCGGTATGATGCATACATTCAATTTTTTTTCATATTAATTCTATCATTTTAGTTTGTTTTTTTTTTTTCTGTAAGTTTGGGTGTGATGGATTTGGCTTTGATTTATGTAGCTGTCTTGCTTTTTATTGTTACTTATTCATTCTTATCTAGCAGCAATCCTTATTTAAAGTTTTTTTTTTTATACTATTTCAATCATTTTTATAGATAAATTATACAATGAATACTGTAGGTTCATCATATTCATGTAATTGTACTGGTTTTTCATACCAATCACTAGTAATTTTGTTGTTTTCTTTTTGGTGTCAGAATTTCTGCAAGTTATGCAAAGGTGCAAAGGTTATCAAAGGAACAAAATCAGTCAAATTGGATATTATGGCTGGTAACCATTTTTAAAATTTTTCAATGCATTGTTATTATGTGAATCATATTCATATGGCTTACAAGTTGCAATGAAAAAAAATCAAATGAAAGAGTAGTTTCCCTATGGATTTTCTTTATCCAGCTTTTCTGAATAAAATTTGCTTGTTGAAGCTAGGAAGAGATCATTTACTAAATCTGAGTTTTGCCATGGTATTAATCTGACAAGAAACACAAACATAAAGAGGCTACGATATTTTACACTAGTAAAGTTGATGCTTTTGATCACTGACCTTTCAATAATTTAGAGTGATGTTGGGGTTCGACCATCTTTTTATTGATTATGATTTTATTAATTATGGGAGTGAAAAGAACAACATGGGGTGACTGATTTACATGCTTGAACATTTGCAGGGATTGACAACAATGAAACTATAAAGGTTTATAGAAGTGGTGGTGCAGATCCTGATGGAGATAACCCTGGTGATCTTTACGTTACTATCAAGGTAACTGTTCAATCTATTCATAGCTTGGTCAACATTTCCATTTTTCTTCTATATCTTACTACAAGCTCAAACATTTATTTATCCTTTTCCTTTATGCAGGTTAGGGAAGATCCTGTCTTCCGTAGAGAAGGATCTGATATTCATGTAGATGCTGTCTTAAGTATCACTCAGGTAATGTTTCTCTATGAAAAACTTTTAAGCCTTTGTCTGGTTGTTGTTTTATATAAGGTTTCAATTAACATATGCCTGTATTTTGTTAGTAGTATTAGTGTATAATTAACATGGCCTAGATAGAGAAAATGTTGTGACCAAGTTGGGTTTTACTTTGTTGTCGATTTGGAAACATGTGAAATGCTCCATCTAATCTAACTCTATATGGAGTGTTGTCATCTTCATTTGGGTTTTGGGATGAGAGGGATAATCTTCTTTTTTTTTACCTAAGGCTTTTTTGTGTAAATCACCATCCCCTAGCATTCCTGTGGGTGTGTTTGGTAAAGGTGTCAGTTGCCTCTGGTCATCTATCAGCCAGAACCAACTGAATTACTTCTATGCCATTTTCATATTTTTATATGCAGATTTGAAGAATAGCGTGAATTAGAAATGTAGATGCAAACATGAAATATATATAGCAATTATAGATGTGCATTTTTTTTAATAACTATTTACTTTATAGGGACCGTTTGCATTTGGTTTACAATTCTAGTATATCCCATGGTGATTTAAAGTACGAGCTACCAAATATATGAATTAAATGGAGTCATGATGTGTTGGGAGAAAAACACACCAACAGAATCACACCCACACACCCAAAATATTTTAGATGAATCATAATGATTGATTTGATTCAAACACTTCATGCTTACATCCACTGAACTGTCTCAAGAGTTTCTCCATCTCAAATATGATTGCGAGAATTGTAGCTATTCCAAATTGTGCCAGTACATATGCCTTAATTCCCCCACTCAAGTTTTAAGAAATGATATCACATTCATTACAGTGGACTTTCTCACAACAGTGATAACACGCTCACTTACTTGCAATCTTTTTTGCTTTGATTGGGATGCTTCATCTTTTTTGCATGATCTTAAGGAAAAAATTCACGACTCAATGGACATTAGTTATCTTATCCTCTTATCCTATAACACCAATCAACTGTGGCAACCATGTCTGACGACCACCCAATAGCCCATTCCAAAATGCTGTTTTGTAATCATTGATTATTATTGGAAGTAAAAAACTTGATGTTATTGTTAGTTTTTTACTTCTTATTTTTGCATTTTTTTAATATTTATCTATATGTATGTGTATATATATATATATATATATATATATATATATATATTGGTTTACTATACATCTGCAGTTGCCACATACTGCCATCTGCTATCAATAACACTGGTTAACCAATTTCTTCACCTACCTGTCATTATGGCCGTGGAGTCCAAGAACCAAAATACTTTTAGCCTTTGAAGTTGTGTCCTTTAACAGATACTTGATCTCAATAGCAAGACCTTTCCAAATCATGCTCACAATTTTATTTCGGATATTATTCCATTTATTTTCATTCATCTAAGTCTACTTTTCATCTTTTAAAGCTAGATTGTGATCTTGCTGCATTGTAAAATGTTGGATCAACATCTCTAGCTTTTGTGTTACCCACCATAGCTTTGATACAATTGTTGGGGGGAAAAACACCAGTGGAATCATGCACGTGCCAAAAGATAAGATGGATAGTTGACATGATTTGGCATTCTCTTGTCTACGGCCATGTAACCACACCAAATTGTGTATCACACTACATACCTTAGTACTATTTACGAGTTCTAAAGCATATAACACTCATTACAAGAGGCTGACTCGCACACTTGTCTTCTCTTGCTATGTTTGGGATGCGTCATCTTCACATAACCCCTTTTATGTATGATAAGATAATATTCATAATGCTATTCATGAATGAGACATAATGGACATTCCTCTAAAAATGCATCTCTTGATTGTCACCCTTCTGCATTTATTTGAAAAATTGGATTGTTCTTCTAATATGATGCTAGCATCTTAATGACTTTTCTTTCTAACCCATTCACCTGAATTTACCTCTTTCAATTCCAAAAAATATCATTTGACAATCTAAATATGGAGTTCTGTTTTTAAATCTTTAGCAAAAAGAACTAGTCCAATCAAGTAGCTCTGTCAATTATAAATCTTCATGGATGAAAAAAAGCAATGCGTTTTGGAGAATGTTAGTTTTGTTCCTGATTGACATGAAGGCTTAAAACATTTAAATGGATTTTTGGTTGGGGGCGTAGCAATCATTAACGTGGTTCATTCTTGTTTATTTATGGTTTCTTTCTAGATTGGTAGTGGTAGTATTGGTTTGTGCTAGAAGTTTTATTTTTTACATGTTTAGGATCTCAAACATCTTACTAGTGGTTTGTGTTGAATTATGGGAAGTACTAAATATTACTTGAAAATAATTTAAATGCTATTTTGTTTTTTCAGGCAATTTTGGGTGGAACCATTCAGGTCCCAACTCTTACCGGAGATGTTGTTCTTAAGGTTTGTGTAGCAATTGCATATAATTTCTCATAGCATTTCAGTTTAGTAACCAATGATGTTTGATTATATGGGTCATGTTTGGCAGGTTCGTCCTGGCACCCAACCTGGTCAAAAGGTGGTTCTGAAAAAGAAAGGTACTTAATGGATAACATGAGAACATTCTGTTAGACAGCGTTGTGTGAAAATATATTTGAAATTCCATGAACCTGTTCAATGGATTTCGAAAGTGTTCAAATTGAGGTGATCTTTTCATCTTTATTAACTTGTTTGTTCTCTTAACAGGGATGAAGACAAAAAATTCTTACACATTTGGGGATCAATACGTTCATTTTAACGTCAGCATTCCAAAGTGAGTGTTACATTTAATGTTGAATGTGGTTTATGAACTACTACGTGCATGCTTGAATTTCCATTTGGAAAGAGCTCCAAACCCTGATTTGTGTAAAAGTTAGTCTCGTCACTTGTCCAAAACATGATGGCTTCAAATGGGAATCAACTCCTCTTGCTCACTCCACAAATAAAAATAGTGTAGGATCAGGTTGTTTAGGTAACGAATTTTCGTTGCGATGGTCTGATAGATGTTTATAATATACTTAACCTCTTTTTGTGTGATGTTCTGCAGCAACCTGACAGAGAGGCAGCGGGAATTGATTGAAGAGTTTGCCAAGGAAGAGCAAGGGGATTTTGATAAACAGAGAGCTGCAGCTGCTTCTGGTTGAAAGCATTGCAAGAGTAGTTACCAAATGATGCTCAACTAGGCGGGTGTTGAATTTTTTGTAGGATTAAAAACTGATAATTTGGTTTGTCCCTTCCACTTTTTTTAGTGTATGTAATATTTTGAGAAATTTCAACATTTTAATTTTAGAAGGCGAAAGTGATTGGTGTATATATTTTACTTACAACATAAGCTAGGGCGCAAGTCACTGAATGTGATTCTTTTTTCCTACTATCATCACATAGAGGAACCTTTATAATTGGGCCATCGGTAAACTTGAACATAATATCTTCACATTATTATCTTAAACATTAATTTGTTATTATGTTAATGATGATTAATAGTTCGATTTCAGTTTTAAGGGGGGTCCACAAAGGCAACTTATGGTAAGTTATCGAATTTAACATTATCATCTTTCTTCCTGTAAAACTGTATCTTTCTGTATACGTTAGTGAACTTATGGACTAGTTTACTTTGGTTTGACAATCCAACTTCACATTAAAATGCAAGTAATGCATTTCAGATTTAGAAGACTTTAAACCAAATAATGTTGTTTGGTCTAATGCTACTAATTCTGTGTTGGTTGTATTTCTAATACAGAAATTTTTAGACATTTTTTTTTTTTTTTTATTTAGTCTTGCAAAAATTGGGATATCCGTGATTAGTTTTTGAATCTTGATAAATGGATTAAGATTAACAGCTTTTGGACTCGGTACATGGACCAATTGAATAGAAGAGTAAAGTACTGGGATTCTAAAAGATTATCTGAATGAAATCATTCTATTAAGTTAGCTTTTACTCAAATATATCCTAAAAATCATTCTGTACTCCTTATTAAGCACTTGAAAAGATATATTAATATTTTCTAGTAACCCCTTTTCTGTTAAGGAACACTGATCAGCATGGACCTATTATTCTTGAGCATTGTTCTGATATTGATTCATATTTTGGGTCTGAATGTATTTGTATTAACTATTATTTTGCTAATATATAAATATATATTTAAATTTAGATTGATTAAAATTACTATAATTTTTTTTTTAAAGTAAGACATTCAAATTAACAATATTTTTTAAAGAATCGTAAATATCATTTATAAAAGATACAATATTGGCCAAGTTATATTTGTTAAGCTCCCGAACATACGTGGTAGTTGATTTGCTCAATATTGGTTAACAAAATAGTTGATTAAATTTTAAAATAAAAATAAAAGGAAAGTTAAATTTACGAAATTATGTCTTTAGAAGAATAAAGTTATGAAGGATAAATGTTTAAGTCTATTTTTAACTTTCTCTATCCATGATATTCGGATAAATTTTTCGAAATTTTGGTCAAATTGAATCATAAACTTCAGTCACTAAGAAAATTTAAAATATAAAAATAACAAATAAATGTATGAAAATTTTTGAAGACTTGTGCATTTTTTAAATTTGCAAACTAAAATTGTGAAAAAAAAAATCAAAATCATGGTTAAAAAATTGAAGGGACTAAAGTTGTAAGTTTTTCAATTATAAATTGAATAATAAATCATATATAATAAAAAACCACAGCATTTTTTGTTTTAGGGTAAAAATTTGCTTAATTCAATGAGAGAATAATTTATAAAAGAAATTGGGTTAAAAAAGGAGGACTCAAATTTATAATATATGTTTTTTTTTCTTATCTTTTACTAAAGAAAGTCGGTATAATGTTTGAATAAAAGGTAATATTTTGAGAAAAATAAAGTATGTTATGAGTAATGTTTAGATGTGTTAAAATAAGCTGATGGGCTAGCCCGAAAGGTTCAAAAAATGGGGTTGGTTAAGCAAAAAAATTTATGATTTAAATAGAATTGAACAAATTTTGGTTCGACCTATTTAAGTCAGACATAAATGGATTTAGGTTAGGCTAGTTCATACGCTTATGAACTGGTTTGTTTTATAAAATAATAATAATTTTACCAATAAAAAAATAATATTATTTTATTATAAAATATAAGTATAATAAAATAATTTGATAATATAATTTTACCAATAAAAAAATAATATTAATTTGATAAAATATAAGTTAAATATAATTTTTATTTGTTTTGGTCATCTTCTGTTACTATAGTTTTAAGGATTAATAACTTAAGACGACATATTTTTATATTAATATATTTTCAAAATATAATGATGTGAGAGTTACCTTAGATAATAAATAATGAAAATTTGACTTTAAAATTTACTCATTTGTTAAATGTATTATTAAACATAGTCTTCAATTTAGCTACGTTGAATACGAGATAGTTTGAGAGATAAATAAAGTTTTGAATCCTTGTTTTATACTCATTACTATAAACACTTCAATTATAGAAGTTTATATCATGTATTTAACGAAAAAGAAAAAGCTAAAAAATGTGTTATCTAATATTTTAAACAAATTACTAGTAACACTCCTGTTACAGTAGATTTATAACATGTATTTAACTAAAAAGAAAAAGCTAAAAAATGTATTATCTAATATTTATGGTAGAATATGTTTGACTTCTAATATATAAACAACTATAATTACTTAAGATTATATCATTGTACCAACTCATTATTATGATTTTATACATTTGTCTCGAATAGGTTATAAGTTACATTTTTTTAAAACAAAATTTAAAAATAATTATATAAATAAAAAATATTTTTAATAAGGTAAAAAATTATCCTTTAACCGTTGACCTAATATAGGGTTAAATTAAGCATAAAATTTTGGTTCATTTTAAAATATAGATTATGTTAGATCATTAAATTTTTTTTTAATTGTTCTGTAGGAACATGTGAGGCTGAGTCGTCCATTTTGAGAGACTATTATATTAATTTATTTGATTTTATAAAAATAGAAAATATAATATATATATATATATATATATATATATATATATATATAAATTACACTCATATTTTAGGATTTTTCTGAGATTTTACATTTTCTCGTATATGTTTTCGTAACATTTACTATTGATAATTTGATATACGTTTTTTTAAAGTAATTAAAATTGAGAGCATAATATTTTTAAAACAACCAAAAAGTATACAAATGGAAATAATTAATATTCTTAGCCGTAAAATAAAAATAAAATTTTTAGATAAGTTAACCATGTTTTATTCACGACAACAATCCATATTGAAAAACCATATAACATAGATTATACTACTCCATCCACTACAATCTCATAACATAACATAATTATGATAAAACATAAATTAATACTCAGATCTAAAACCCTTGTCTCTAATACCATTCCATCACAATGTTCCAATTTCACATGATTTCACCTACATGAATAGATAGAGAAGATTGGTCATTTTCAGTTGCAAAAGAAAAAAAAATGCAAGAAGAAAAATTATTTTCTAAAGAATCATTAATAATAAGACAGTTTATTATAACTTTTCTCAAACTCACTTAAAAATAATGTTGAGTTTTTCTATGAATTTGTTTCAACCCTTTTAGTTGATAAAAACATTCAAAAATAATCTTAAATATGATTAAAATAAAGATATTTTGGATACCTATTCACACAATCTTTTTATTTATTTAAAAATAACTCTTTATTTTATTTTAAATTCTTTTTAAGTTAAAATAATATTTTTGTCTAAATGATTATTAAAAAAAATAATAAAGGTTAATGTCACTTAGAAATTAATTGAAAGATAGTTAAATCTTTACTAAACCCATTAAATAAATATCATAATTAATTTATTTAAATTTAAAAACTAAAAATCACCCAAATTGTAGAGTCACCTTATATAATTTTTCTTTCTGCATAGAAAACCCATTTCTATGTTTATAAAAAGCATCTAAATCCAATTATATGAACAATCATATATATATATATATATATATATTTGAGAGAGAAGAGAGATCACATGGTTCAAAGTTTGTTGTGCACTTGTCTGGGAGCTGTGAGGCCATATTACGGTCTACCCCAGAAATTGGAGGGCCATTGACAAGAACACACAAACATGGCTGCCCTAGTCCTCTCAGGGCATTGCAACATGCATCACTTGGGAGAATGGAACTGAAAGGAGCAACGGCTGCCCTACAAGGAATCAGCTGCACAAGGGCGGAGAAGAATGTGCTTGTGCATGGACTGCTTTCAACTTCTGCCACTAAACCTCCCATCATCATCATCACCAACCACACCAATGACACTGCCCTCAGGTAACGGCAAAACTTCATCTTTCAATTGTTGCTCTTCTGCAATTCAAGCAGGTTTTAACTGTATTGAGAATATTTATGAGGATTTGGATTTATTTATACATATCATTTATACGTGATGTCATGCACGCCATCTGTTCTAACTAAGGGTCATTCTAGTCATGCTTACTAGCTATGCTTTTAGTCTCAACAGAGAGATCAGCATCAATGCAATTGTGCTGAATATTAACAGTTACACGATTCAATTGATGTGATCTCTTCCAATAAATTTTGTCAAATTGTTTCTGTCCATATTATGAAGATGTATATTTGTTTGAGAAACTGACATATTATTATAAGATAAGGTCTAAATTGGTTAAAACTACCTAATTTTATAGAGCTCATCTCCTTATTTCAGAGGTTTTAGTTTGTAAAATTAAAATAGATTTTAATAACATCTTAAAAAATAAATATGAACTTAATTCATTCTTACCAATTTAATCACATGATACTTTTCTCTTTTGCTATCATGTATGATTATGCAGTTTAGATTTAGTCCTTATAAAAATTAATATCTCTGTCTGTCTATAAAGTTTGGATGATTATTACAATTTAGTAATACTAATTTGCTCAAAAAATGTGTTGGATTCAAGTCCGATTGATGCTTCTCAAAGCAAGCGATGGTGTAAACCGTTACCCTCGCTTTTCTTTTATCTTTAATGAATGATGTGGAAATTGAATTATAGGTTTTAAAGACTAATGAACTTGTAGATGTAAAACAACAATAACCTTATGGGGTGATGTCAGCTTAAATTTCGTCACTCATGCTAAAGTTGATATTTTCGTCAAGTTACTTTTGCAGGTTCTTATGTATATAGTTTAAAATTACATGTTGTTAATAGAAACTAATTTATAAGAATTGAGATTGTGATTAATTATTTAAAGAAACTTCTCTCATATAAAACAGTATCGCAATTAATAGCATAAAACTGGTTGTTTGTTAGAGCTAATCTGAATACTATTAGATCTGAACATTGTACTTCATTGCATGTTGTGCTTGATACGGTGGTTCATCAAATTAAATGAAAAGGGTATACTAGGTATGTCTTGAGTACTTAGTTAGATTCTTCGTCCAAAAGTGACAAAATTTTGGTTAAAATAAGGATTTAAGTTTTTTAATTTGTTTTAGTATGAAAGTTTTTTCAATTGTCTATTTGTGTTTTACTTTTGATTTTCTAATCTTTGAAATATAAGCGTTTAAGGTCCTTTGTAAAGATTGGGGTATAAGTGAAAACTCTTTAAACGGTGTAAAATGAAAACTATAAATTTGAATCATACAATCGTAAATGTCAAGATTCAACCAAAAACAATTTAATGGTGTATATTTTTATTTCTCATAAAAGTTTTCATTTGATACCTTCTATCTATCTAGTACGGGACTCGACTAATAATTGTGAGTTTGTGTTCTTAGTAATATCAAGGGTGTTCTTAATTTATCGGTTATAGTATTTTACATCATCATGCCCTGAAGAGCTTTCCCTGCTCCCTCCCCAAAGTATGTGTTTATAGATTTAAGTAATCTGAGCTCAAGTTTAAAGTGACTTCATTCAATATTCCTGATTCCTGATATTTTTGTGCCTTGTATGCTGATGCCTAGCTTTTAATTTTGATATCCCATTATCATTTTCCTTCTCTGGAGAAATCCTGGGATTAGGGTAAAATGAAAAGGATAGGATGTAAAGAAAAACTGAATTGTTTTGAAAAAAAAAAAATGAACTAAATTGTTATTTTAATTCAGTTCTTTAAAAGCTGAATTGTTTCTAAAAAGAGTTATTTGAACTAAACTGAACTGTAAGTCATGAGATTGGAAAATATATTTTAAAATAAGATGTTCAATAGTAATAGTTCAAACAATTTAGTTCAAGCAGTTCAAAAGCAATTTAGAGTAGTTAAGTTTAAATCACTTGACTCAAACTGTAATGCAGTTTAATTCAGTTCATCTGAAGTAGCGTTGAGTTTAGTTCATATATTTTAGCCACCCTTGCCCAAAACCACAAATAAAAAGAAACACAATGTAAGAACTAACCACGGATTTATAGACTTCCCTTGTGATCATTGGTACTCATCATTTATGATATGCTTTAGCAACAAAGTTAGAGAGTATAGGGGGATAAAATGCTGATAAGAGTGCAGCATACATTATTAAAACTATATGTGATACCAACTAAGACACTGCACTGGCAATCATTTGTCACTTGTCAGCAACAAGAGCTTCAATTTTTCTTTCAATGTGAGATTCATGATCCTCCAAGCGACCTTTGACTGTGTCATTCTCCCAAAGGATCAATGTTGGCACCCCAGTGAGCTTGAACCTAGGGTCCACCCTCCATGGATGCTGGGGGTTTCTCCATGTTGGTCTATCTCCAACATAAGCTCGCAAAAGTGCAATGTCATCAGAGGAACCCTCCAGCTTCTTGTAGATCACAGGTTCTGCTCTCACACAATCTAATAAGTAAAAGGAAAATATTAAAAAAATACAGTCATGCTTTTTGTAGATCAGGGGTTCAGCTCTCACTGTATTCATGGATACTGATAAGCTAGTGATACTTCTCTTGTTCATAGAAATCCCTCCCTCCCCTCTTCTCCATTTTTTCCCAACCAAACACTGTAACGGTCACCAAAGTTTAACAATATGATAAAAAAAAATGTAATCAATATCAATCTAACCTTTTTTTAAGCATCCACAAACATCAATCTCTGAGAAGCTCTTATTCTCTCAAGTTAACCAATATACTTACTTTCAGTTTCCCCTAATATTGACATAGAAAAACAAAATCTTCCCCGAAGAATTCCCATTTAGATTTCAAAATGCTCCATAAACTCTAATGCATTAGAGTCAGAAGAATAAAAAAACTTAAAATTCCTTGAAAATTTGGAAATGGATTTAGTGCAGCCAGTCACCAAATTCACACACACTCAACAGTAATTAAATCAAAATTTTAGAGTAAAGATCAAAAGATTCATATATTAATACACATGTTGTAGAAGAAAGAAGAAAGAGAGCAAGCATGCATAGATACCAGGGCACCAGCTGAGAGAGGTAGCAGCGTCTTTGTCGGCCAAGAAGAGTATGAGATTCGCCTTGTTTCCTGCAGCCTCTGATCGGAATTTCTCAAACACGCCATCAAAGCTCGACACTGTTGCGTCCAACACCTTCAACGGCATTTTTTTTTTCTATTCCAACAAAAATCCACAACACAAATTTCTCAGATTCTTTTCCAAATCAAATTTTGATGTTTTCTTCAAACTATATGTGACCGACCAAAACCCCCGTATGTTATTTTATCTGTTTGTAACAAAATTAACGCGTGTGCGGTATAATAATAATAATAAAAAAAAACTGATTAAAAATATCTGAACAGTATAAAAGTGTAAATTAATCTCTAAATGTTATAACTTCTTCATGATAAAATAGTTTATAGTTTAGTGCTAAATTAGTTTTTAAAATTATATTTTAATAAAAATACTTATATTAAATTTAATGACGAGATTTATTAAAGAATCAATTTATTATATTTAAAACTAAATCAGATTTTTAGTTTTTTCATCCACTAAATTAACAATTTCTTACACAAACTTAAAAAACGAAATTAGTAAAAGGATGAACTTTTTTTAAAACCGTTTAATTTTTATTTTTTATTATCAGTTTAAAACTGATAAATTGTTTTGCTTTAACGTAGGAAATAAATTAACGAGGAAAGTAATTTTAAGATTCATCATAACCGAGAGTATTTCTACAAGTGTTTTTTTTATAATTCTTCTTTTAAAATAAATTTTCATAATTTTTTTTCAATATTTTTAGTTTTAAAATAAATTTTAATATTTTCTAAGAATATTATCAATAGTTAAAAAAATAACACTGTGTCAAAATATATTTTTTTTAACATAAATATCAAAAACATTTTATTTGTTCAGAAGTATTTATTTATTATAAATTTTAAATATAATATCATTTATAAGTTTAACCATATTTATTTATTATATATTTTAATTATATAAAATAATTATATATTTAATTTCATATTTCCGAATATGTTATTTTAATTGTTATTTTATAAATCCTCCAATAGTAGGAGATAAGTTCACTTAAATCGTTCGCAATTAATCAAATGCTGCATAAACTATATAATATATGTTGTAAAGGTTTTTACATTAATCTTCATCTATAAATAATATATATATATATATATATATATATATATATATATATTCATGTTTTATATTAATTACTTAAAATTTATTTTTTAATATGATTTTTCAATTTATTAATATCATAGAAATTATTTTTAATGTGCTTTTTTTAAAATAATTAATTTCTTAATGTATAAATATATAAGAAACAAAATATTTACAAAAAATAAATAATTTATATGAAAATGGTTTTAAGAGTATCTTATAATAAGAAACATTAACTTTCACGGAGAATAAGCTAGATTCAATTTATAAAATACAATATTTAATAGATTTTTTTATTTTTTATACTTTTAATCCATATTAAATGTGTAAGAGCATATCTAATGTAATTATATGAGCAACTCATTCATATATCAAATTCATAATAAAATATTTATATTTATTTTTAAATTACTTTTATTAAAAATTCCTTTTAAAAATATTTTTAAATAAAATATTAATTACTTGAAATAATTATCAATATATGAAAAATACTTAATTTTTTTAGTTGCTTAATGAAACAATTTATAAAAATAAGTAAATCAAAATAAATGAAAAGAAAATAAAAAACAGAATAAATTGTTAAAATTTATTAAAAAAAAATAATAGAATAAATTTAATAATGAACTTCCAAATTATGTAGTATTATAAATTATTGTTTTACAGTTTTTCTTGCTCTACAGGAAATGTCTTTACTTATTATTTGTTCCTTAATTAAAATATCCTTATTAATTGTTTTAAACAATGAGCGTTATATGATAGATGAGGAATCTCATCAAATATTCTCAAATTAGCATGATACACTAAAA